GGACTTGAGCAGGGTGCAGTTTACTACTGTGCAGCTAGCAAAGCACACTGACAAAAAACCCCTCTGAACTTTACAAAAACTCTGCACCGTCTTTTCTCATCAGTGGTTTATAATAAGACAAGGAATAAACTGCTGCCAGACACCTGCTTCTGTGGTTGTACTTTGGTTTGATGCAATCATATCACACAGCTAATACAACTGTGTTTCTCTTTTACTGGTTTAATCTATTTTAACAAGGCGTTTTATTACAGTAAAATATTTAAACATAATGAAATCTGTTAAAAGCACAACAAATTGTTTAAGGAGGAGGGTATACGTATTAGTTTGATATGAAACTTCATGAAGCCACGCCTCCTTTCTACCTCCTGTTTACTTCCTCATTAAATGTGACTCAGTTCAGTGACTCTGTCATAACTTCACTATTAATGCATTTTATGTCCTTTAGAGTAACTCGCACTCCATGTCAGATCTCTACATGATGATTAGATTTCTCTTTTGTTTTTTCCTCACAGGAAACAACTGACTCATTTTGAAGTAAGATGTCCTCCGCTGTTTACCTGTTTTTAACTTCTCAAAGCCAAAGCCTTGAAGGCTCTAAAAAAAAAAAAGCCACTGGGGCTGGAAATAACTATTATTATCTAGATTAAATCGATTAATAAATAAAATGTCCAAAACCCAAAGATATTTAGTTTAATATGAATATAAAACAGAGAAAAGCAGGACATCTCCATATTTGTGAGGCTAAAAACAGCATTTTCTGCCATTTTTTTGCATGATAAATTACTTTAACAATTAATGGACTATCATATCAGTCTGCGATCTTTTTCTCTGTCAATCGATTTATCGATTAGTCGACTAATCGTTGCATCGATTAGTCAACTAATCGTTGTAGCGCAAAATGCTTCCTTTCCTATGCTTGAACTGAAGCACCCTCAAGTCAGCAGCCACCTTTTCTGGGCAGTCCTATGTATCAATATGTGACATGTGTCAATATGTGACATGTGTCAATATGTGACATGTGTCAATATGTCACATGTGTCAATAAGTCACATGTGTCAATAAGTCACATGTGTCAATACGTCACATGTGTCAATATGTTGAGTTACTTTCACAGGTTCCTCCTCTTCCTGTTGTTCAGGGAACGCCAGAGGACGATTTCTCCTCCTAAAACACAAACAGACTGAATCAAGTGTTGATCTATGCTCTGACTTCCTCTACATCACTTCCTGTCCCTCCTTCTGATCCACAAAGCTCTGCAGAGATCCCCGTTGGTGCTTCACATTCAACATGATGCCGTCTCATCTTTTTGTTACCGTCATCACTGTGCTCTGGATTAAAGGTATTGTACATTCATGAAGACACTTTTTCTACTTAATCTGGAATTAATTCTCAAAAAAACTGAACACATCAAGGTTAAATATTTCAACGGTCTCATATGCTTTAATGTTTTTTTCCACTGTGTAATCAATTCCCAGTGCACAATGATTCAATACTGTTGTGATCTCTTTACAGGAGTTTACCTCAGTGAAGTGTTTCAGACTCCAACTGAACTGTTTTGGAAACCAAATAATGAGGTCACCCTGAGCCTCACACATGAAATCACAAACTACAACACTATTCTCTGGTATCAGCGCTCAGCAGGAGACACTTCCCTAAAGCTGATTGCCTACATTTATTTTAAAACTGTTCAAGTTGAGCCGCTGTTTAAAAGCCGCTTTAACGTGAGTGGAGATGGAGCGAAAACAGTTCATCTTCACCTCCTGAACCTGAGTCACCCTGAAGACAGCGGAGAATATTTCGGAGCAGCCAGTAGGCACAGTAATGAAGACAGTGACGCTCTGATACAAAAACCTCATAATGATCCAGCAGATAACGTCACACCAAAAGGAAACCAGTGAAACTATGTGACACTGTCTCAAACTGCTGAAAAATGCCTGTGATGAAGGTTAATTCATTAGAATATTTTAGGGGTCCCTTTACTATGTGCAGTAAGAAGTAAAAGTTAAAGAGAGAAATATCCCAGTCGTTGATTAATGTCATCTTCTGCTGATCAGCTCTCTCCATTCTACAAATAAAGTCACAAGAATAGATTTTTCACCGTCGTAGGAGTGTTTGAACGTCATGTTTAACGGATTCCCTCAGGTCATCTCTGTATGAATGAGCAGTGAAAACACTCTGACATGAAGACAGCTGTAAGCTCCTCCTTCCTCATTACAAACGTACAATAAAGGCAGATTTCACACTAACGTATTTTCATTGATGCCTCTGCATGTCTGCTTAAGTCACAGCTAAGGTTTGAGTCACCACGGAGAACATTACGTCTCCATGAAGATGTTCAAAATGCTCGTCGTTTGGTTTTGTTCTCTGTCTTTGCTCTCAGGTAAGAGTCATAAGAAGTTTGTAATTCCTCACGACACTAACAAAACTTTCTGTTCACCTTCGTTTTTTTTCTTTTGGGTACGTCTAGACATTGTGATATCATCACTTTCAATAAAACAATCACCAGTAGAAATGTTGATGAAACCTGAACAAGAAGAAGCCCGTCTTGGCTGTTATCATGGCGACGACAACTACCCCTACATGCTCTGGTACCGGCACAGGGAAGCAGCCATGGAGCTGATCGGACTGCTTCATTATGAAAACTCAAACCTCGAGAAGAACTTTGAAGCCCGTTTCAACATAACGGGCCACTCAAAGGGCCGAGCTCAGCTTGTTGTCTCCAACATCAACCCAGCAGACAGTGCAGAGTACTTCTGTGCAGCGAGTCAGCACAGTGGTACAACTCCTCTGGCTCCTTTACAAAAAGCTGGTGAACCAGAGTATCAGACATGCAGCTGCATCCAACCTAAGCTCCATAAAGACAGCGGCATACTTCAGCTGTCGTTGGTTTCCATCTCTGAGAGGACGAAAGCAGAAAAGTAATGTGGGAGACAAGGACGTATGAATCGAACAGAAGATCGACTGAACACTGACGTAAAGATCACAAACACAGCTGCTCCTTAATGCTAAATGAGTCTCATCGGTAAAGATATAACAATTATTGAAGTGACTTAGCAGATATAGTTATCATGCTGGCAACAGCTTTTCTCTTATTTTCATGCGTTTCTCAGTCTGTGCTGATCCCTCAGTGGACCCACTACATCTCCAGTCTTCCCAGTGGCTCTGCAGAAATGCACTGCCACACCGATTATGAGTATCTGTCCTGGTACCGACAGCTGAGTGGAGGAGGCTTTCAGCTTATGGTGTGTATAGTAGCTGGCATTGCAAACTATGAAGAGGGATTCAGATCTGGTTTTCGGGCAGTGAAGTGGAAGGTCTCTGACGGTAACCAGCGTTCAGAAGACAGACGAGGCTGTTTATCTGAGAGCTGCAGGTCTGCACAGTGCTGTAGCAGAACTTAGTGACAAACACACAGAGGAGAGAGGCTGTTTATTGTTCTCACATTAAAAAAAAAATCATATGAAGGAAGTCAACCACACTGTGGAGGAGATTATATCAGTGACTTTAACGATAGATGTTAAGTTATGTCAAATGGATACGAGGAAGGTGAAAGAAAGGATGTAAATAACCTGCTCTGAAAAAGATAAGAATGTATTATTGATCATGTGTTTCAAAAAAACAACCTTCGTGTTTTTATGATGAAAAGCGACCACCTGCAGTTGTGCAAATGAACTGTCCTGAATAGATTCCACCAACAGGTGGAGGTACAGCACCTGGCATGAAGCTGTTAGAGAACACAGTGATGCACTAACAGAGCAATGCCTTCCCTCATTACTCTGAGCCTTACTTTATTCTCAGAGAAGTGCTTTACTCACAGTAGTGTCTGACAATGTTGTCACCTGTGCACACATTGGGTTTTCTCTTCATCTGGTTTTCATGTAAGATCTCAAATGTTATCAAGAATCTGACAGGGAACTACTTGTTTAAAATGCTAAAATCATGTTGCATAAATAATATAAATACTGTACGGTCTTTTTGTCTGTTGCTTCAATTACAGTTCCGTCCAAAATCTGCTTTCCTCCACAGGTCAGGTGAGCGCTGTTACATTTCATCAATCTCCTCCCCAGATAGTGGAGGAGAGCACTGAGGTCCAGATTAAGTGCAGCCATGATGATGCTAACCTTGTAGTAATGCTCTGGTACCAGCAAAGACAGGACACTATGTCCATGACCCTCATTGGGTACGGATACGTGAACAGTGAGAACTATGAGGGTCAGTTCAAAGAACAATTCACGCTGACAAGAGAAGACAACGTGAAAGGAGCTCTGACTGTACACAAAGCAAACCTGTCAACCTCGGCTGTTTATTTCTGCGCTGCCAGTACACAGTGATGTGGTTTGATGCCACTCCCTCACTAAAAACCCTCTTCACATGAGGCAGTGTGTCTCTTTACAGACTCTCACTGAAGGACGGGAGGATGTCGCCAACTGTGATCGGATTTCTTCTCATCTTGCTTCCATGTAATGTAATTAACTGCAAACGTAACAAACAAAATACGGCAACTATGTGAATGTTTTTTTCACTGTGGCTTCTGTATCAACTACTTTTTTAAATCTGTGTTTTTCCCCACAGATCATGCGGAGAGTGTGACGTTTGAGCCATCTCATCCCAGAATAGTCAACGACACAGCCAGGGTAGAAATTAAATGCAAACATGATGATAACAGCCTGCAAATAATGCTCTGGTACCAGCAAACAGAGAGCGGTCTGATTCATTTAATTGGATACAGCTACACTGGCAGTGACCCCACCTATGAGAAGCAGTTTGAAGATCGGTTCAAGATGACAAGACAAGACATCCAAACAGGAGCTCTGATTGTTCCCAGTGTGAATCTATCAGACTCGGCTGTGTATTTCTGCGCTGCCAGTACACAGTGATGTGGTTTAATGTCAGCCCCTCACTAAAAACCCTGCTCTGTTTCTTTCTCTGTTGTTTTCATGTTCATGATCCTGAAACTGAAAGTTGACTCAGTAGCTCTCGTTATGCAGAAGAAGAGCAAATTTGCATAAGAATACAAAACAAACAGAACTAAGCAATACTTATAAACTAAGCAAATAAGCAAACTTAAACATATATGTAAACAGGCATAAGTAAGACAACAAACTATGACCTGTATAGGCCGATACAGGTCACTTGTAATACACCTGCATTGCAAAAATGTATGCATGAAATAAGTACTGCGTGGATACAATGTCCACCTATGACAGAAGGGTTTATGTATACAGCCAGCTGAGACTTGAGTTCTGACAATGAAAGGCTTGGCTACTATTTACATATTGCAGTGTGTGTTAAATTATAACATTAATTTATAGAGCGATCTAATATTTTCGTATTGCAGTGCTATTTATTTATTATTAATATGGACACAAACAACTATTTTGTCACCTTTCAGAACAAAGTAACAGCAACCCCAAAACAACTGCCTTAGAAATAGCCATGAAGTTGAATAAACACCTCACTTCTTTCAACAACCAATTCAGCCCAAAACACTTCGACACTCACACAGGAGCTTTCATATTGTCACCAAACCATCACCACTCAAACCAAATAAAAATGATGTTCAGCAAATCCACAATCATTGTCAATTCCAATACAAATGTTGCACATAGGTCGACGTCAGCTTTGCCACGTGTTAGTTAAACCAAGACTACAAACACAGTAAACAAAGTAGAAACATCAACTCACATGTCAGTGACTTCTGTCATCTTTGACAGGAGTAACGTCTGTGAGGAGAACTGACTCACACAAACTGTAGTAAATGTTTGTGGCGCCTCTTCGGAGGTTTAATACACTAAATTATTCATGATTCAGTCCTGGTAAGAAGTGGACGGCCAGCGTGGAGGAAGAGAGTGGGCGGGGCAAAGTCCGTTTAAGAAGACGGTCTAATCAGGATTGACCAATCACGTTCCACCAACGCCCACAGGTGTGTTCATGGAACCTCATTCATTCATACAACGGAAAGAAGCACATTATTAAACCAATGTTAGGAAATAATGTTCACATTATCAATCAATGTACAATTTACAAAGAGATAACATAGTCGATCCTCGTGTTGAAGAAGCTGGAACTGAAAAATGTTTGGCATTTTTTCTTGACAATTAATTTATACTAATTATCAAAAATGCAACTTTTGATGAATTGTTTTAGCTAGAATTGTTAGATCAAAACTATTTGGCTATATAACAGTTAAGGGTCAAGCTGCAACTAACTATTAACGTAAGATAGCACTTAATTTATCCGGAGGGAAACTGTTATAAAGGAGTTGCTGTACAAAGTAGGAACACGTAAAAAAATTAAATATCCCCACGGTGCGAATTGAAATATGCACAATAAATAAAAAAATATTTTCACTGTCAAATAATCTGTAATCTTAATTAATTGTCAATTTCTTACATACAGTCCAAAACACAAAGCTATTTAACTATGATACAGTTCTGAAAATATTAATATTAATCATTTATCAATATAGTTGTCAGTTAATTTTCTGTTGATCAATAAACAGAGTAGTTGACTGTTTCACCACAAATAAAATCATGTTCAAACATTCTGTTACATGATTAAAAAACTGTTTCTCAAATAGATTCCTGCGTCATCATTACATTAACTTAAAAAAGGACAACACAAGAGATAAGAGGACACAAGACAATCAATTATACTTTTAATCTATGTTTTGTGATAAATTCATGATTTAAAAAGCATTTATACATAGCATAGTAACATAGTAGCAGAGAAGCATCACCTTACCATAAATACTATCAAAAGAATGTCTCAGTTTTTAAGGTAGATTTTACATTGAAGATGATGTTCTAAATACTGTTTCAGATGCTGAGCAACCTCAGTCTAAAAGCACAAGACGGACTCCAAAGTCTCATTTCATAATCAGTGATTGGGAATAACAGTCGGTGCCAATTATGTCATGTGATCACGTGACCTCGTGGTATATTTGTGCTGAACAGAGTGATGTGTGACTCATTTAGCTGGGAGGAGGCTCATCGCTGACATGTTTACCACAGTCCTTTATATGTCGCTTCTTTTACACTCAGGTGGGTTTTGTGTGTTAACTCATAATGGATGTGCTCACTAACACACAGTTCCTACACGTCATATATTTCTGTGAGTTTACAGTTCTGCACATCGAGGTGAGGGACAGTAAAACATCATCCTTCGTGTGCTGCAGGTCTCACGGTTGAAGTTCTTCAGTCTGGAGAACAGACGTCCCACCCGGGACTCACGGTGAACTTCGTGTGCAACATGGGTCCAGGGTTGGTCATGAGCAGCTACACCATGTTGTGGTACCGACAAACTCACTACGGAGGTCCACTGGAGTTCCTCACCACAGAGTACGACCGGACCGCGGGGCACTTCCAGTCGTCTATCGAGACTTCCAAAAACAGCTTCTCTCTCCAAATCACCGAGCTGCTCCTGAATGACAGCAGCACCTACTACTGTGCTGCCGGTCACAGTGATGCACACGGAGCAGACAGTCATACACATATCACGTCTGTGTGGGTGTCACAGGTGGCTCACAGGCAGGAAGGAGCTGTGGCTTTTTTCCATTAAATTAGTGGAACAATAAAGAAAAAATATTGATTGATCCAGTAGGATACGACACACTGGGGCTAGTTTATGTTTATGTATAGGGCGGCTGAATGATATGAGCAAAATATTGTTGAATATCGTGATAACGATATTGTTACATAAACAGATCTTAAAGTGTTCTCAGTTCTGCCTTCTAAAAGGCAACAAATTGCTTGTTGAATTAAAAAAGTAAAAAGGGAATTAATTTCCAACATCTTATTAAACAAATTGAACTGAACACAAAAGGAACCAATATAAATACAAACAATGACATTTTAAAGTGCAGTTGAGTGCAATCATTGAGTGTTTATTGGGAAAGTTGACATTGGATGCCTAACTAATGCATGACTCATCATTATTTCCTCATGTAAAAACTATGACACCAGTTTGTTTCTCTTTTATCCGTATTATAAGGGTGATAATAAGAGAGGGAAAAATGCTGAAAGTTGCAGTAATGATACGAGCAGAACAAATTCCCTTTCAGCCAGCTTAGCTTGCTGGTAAACAACAGAGTGCAACAATCTTAGAAGCTTTTCTCCATTTGTTGCAGCAATCTGATTGTTTTATGTGAAACAGGTCTGTTAGCAACAATTGCTTTAAACTCTCCTGTAAAGACCTCTGAGAACTGCCGTTACAGGAACTCTGAACCTGCAGTTGCTGCTCAGTGTCCACTAGAAGACTGAGGCTCTGTATGAACTGTGAAACACATGAATACGTTCCTGTAAAAGGGGAGGATCTGAGCATATTTCAGAAGATTTGATTGTGGCACTACAGCGAGTTACACCTGCAGCTGGTCAGCCTGATAGAAGACAATAGAGTCCGATTTCATTTACTCTGAATAACTATAAAATCACTGCGACAATGACCGTCTTCTGGGTTGCAGTTCTAATCTTTTTAAGTAAGAACATTTAAATTAAGTTAAATGAAAGATCTTTTTTTTTTGTTATGGTGTGTTTACTTTTTTTTTTTTTCTTGTTTCCAGATTTCACCTTCTGTGTAAAAATTCAGCAGCCTCTATTTGTAATCAGCCGTGACGGAGACCCGGCTGTAACTTTGCAGTGTGAACAAGATGCCACGGATAATTACTACATGTACTGGTACAGACAAAGCAGCAGTGGGAGAATACAGCTGGTGACATATTCCCATGGTTAAAGACACGGCGAGCATTGAAGCTCCTTTCAACATATCCAAGTACACCATGTCCCGGCCTGCAATGCTTAGCTCCTCTCTGCAGATCCACCCTGTCGAGGCCGGAGACTCAGCTGTGTTTTACTGTACCTCCAGTATAGCACAATGGTTCAGAAAGCCTCAGCAGCTAAACAAAAACCTCAAGAAGAAACCAGGAAAAGATGACAGGGAGGAGGGATGAACGAGGACGGTTAATGTCTGTAGCAGCATGACAGGCGACTTACATTAATGTGACAAGAAAATAATGATGGGGAACATCAGCTAGAAATGAAAACAGCATGACAAACTCCACTGATGAAAGGTACAGGAACTGCCTCTCCACAGATCAGTGACGTTCCTGCAACACCACAAATCAGATAAATAAGCAGGTGTTCACATTTTAAGGCTTATACATCCCGTACAACATTACTTTCCTCTTCAGTGTCTCATCTGTGTCACTCTGTGCTCAAGTCTACTCTCATGTTATTCAAATCTGTGTGCAGCATATCAAGTTGAAGAGGTTATCACGCACTGACCTCTACAGGGTCCGTGTGGGATTGCACTTAGATGTGGTAGTTAAAAGTGAGGTCAACACTGTAGAAGGGGAGGCCGGTGTTATTAGAGCGAGCTGCTCGTGATGTCTTTTAGCATGGTTACTTTCATTATTTTTTTATTTATTGCTTTATTTGATAAGGGACAGTGCACATTAATACAAACATTGCTGTAAATGCGCCAGAGTTAAAGCCAAGAGGCTGTTTTTCATCTGTAGTCCCAAAGCAGATGTTACAAAGTAAACCTAAAAACAGAATATAAGTCATGCAATATTGACCCTTTGCAATGCATGCAGAAACAATGAAAGAAGTGAGAATATTAATAGAAGTAGTATCATCATTCAGGAGACTCTTATATTGTCAAGTACTAACAAGACATGCAACACAGAGGCTCTCAAATTCAACACACACAAAGCAAATCAAATGAGGGATAACTATGTTAAATAGAAACATGGACTAAAGATTATGCTGCATTATTAGATACTAAAAATCATCCATGTTAAGTAGGATTAAAGGGAAATAAACTATTATTGATATTCATGTTGTTTAATGATACTATTAATTAAACTTCAGCCATATGTAACATTTTTCTCTTTTATTTGTTTTAGGGAGTGATACAACACAGTGAACAGATCCATGCTACATGTCACAGCATTTAAGCTAAATGTTATCTGCAAAGATTGTCATGTAATAATTATCTGTAGGTTCATCATGACAAAATGACACTTTTCACATTACACAATGTTAACCAATGAATGTTACTCAGTAAATGTGCGTCTCCCCAGTTCACTGGGTACTGGGTGGATAAAGAGGTGTGACCAGCAGAGATGTCACTCCCTCTGAACATCTTCGAACAAACAAACACCAGTTTCCCTTTTCCTTTCCACCGTTCTTGCTTCTTTTCTTAGCTGTCCCAGAAATAGCAGCAGTCAGGTCGGAGGCCGCTCAGCCGTCAGTCAGCCCAACCTGAACAGCTGCTCTCTCACACAGAGAGAGATGGAGGCTGAGATATGGAGGAGCTGGGTGGGGGAAGGAGAGGGGAGAGAACGAAAGAGACTTCAGGTTTTTGTGTGATGCTTTTTCACCGTGGGGACAGGGGGCCACGGTGATACAATCCTATAGAGCCGCTGTACAAAAACCTCCTCCCATTGACGCCCATTGTGTAGACTGCTACATGCTACCTGGGACATTTGGAAGAGCAGAAAAATCAATAATCGGAAGGTGTGTAAGATGTCAGGCCAAACTGGAACTGGAAAGTCAACATTAATGGACAAATTGGCTGAAAATGAGTTTTTAAAAAACAAGTTTTAAATCATATGTGGAGCACTGGGATGCTTCTTTTATTCATCCTGACAAAAGCAACATATTTGGACATCATGAAGCTCATCCTGCATGTTGAAACCTTCTTCATCCTCTGGATTATTACACTGTGCTTCAACATGAGGGTTATGGAAAGTTTTGAGACTTTTTGGTAGAGGAGACATTCAGTGTGACTCTGGATCTGAAGCTTACTTTGGAAAGGGAACAAAACTCACTGTTTTGGGTAAGTAGCATCTCTCACTGCTGCAGTGCACTGGTACACACTTACAATAGTTGAAATGTTGGAATGAAAGTGAAGACAAAAAACTGTTGTTAAAAGCTGAAATATTGAGCTGAAGTGAAAACACTGTGACCAACAATGTACCTGCTTACTTTGGCCAAGGAACCAAACTGACTGTTCTAGGTAAATATTTCAGTTTATTATTGAGTTTTGTTAAATGTCACATTGCTGTAGAGTCTTAATATAAACAGAAGTATTGGTAAAAACCTTCCAAAGATAATTGTGGGAGAAAGACTCAGGAGTTTCATGCTCAGTATTTCTGCACTGTGACAATACAAATGAGGCTTACTTTGGAAAAGGAACCAAACTGACTGTTCTGGGTAAGTCAAGGATGGTTCAGATGGAACTAATGTAATAAGATGTGTCATTGGGGTGGTGCATTAAGAAACTCAATGTACTTTTTAGTTCAAGTTCAGCTCAGTGGTTTTTGATGTTAAGCTTAAGCACTGTGCCAATAACGAAGCCTATTTCGGCCAGGGAACTAAACTGACTGTTCTCGGTGAGTAAGACTTCAAACCTTCTTCTGATTAATTCACTGGTATAAAGGTCTGGTGTCTGGGGGGAAGTTTTGTGTTACATTAAAGTTATAAAAAACAGACTGCAGTGCAGTAAATGTTGGTATTTCAATTTTAACAAACAAATACATTTAATACAATAAAGAAAATTTGAAAGCAACAAAATTCAAAGACGCGAAGTAAAAGCAGCATCTTGTGCTGTTTTGAGCACTGATCAAGTTCACTGTGACTCTGGTGGTTATCAAGCTTTCTTCGGTGGAGGAACTAAGTTAACGGTTATAGGTAAGAAATATATTTTCTATATACAGTCGTTGATAAAGTCTATGGCAAGACATCGGAACAAATGTAACAGGCTTTGTAATTGGAGTCATTCCTAAACAAATTGTATGGACCCGACCTTCTGTTAAGAGGTTTTTGCTCCTAAGCTTAAACACTGTGTCAGTACGAAGCCTACTTCGGTCAGGGAACTAAACTGACTGTTCTCGGTAAGTAAGACTTCAAACCTTCTTCTGATTCATTCATCCTGTAAAATAAGTGAAACCTGCACAAACAGGTGGGTTTCTCAAGTCTAATGCAACACAAAAAAAGTTCATCCTCAACAATCAGACTGCAGTGAAAGAAATGTTGTTTTTTTTGGATTGAAAGAAAAGTGACATTAATATAATAAACACTTAAAAGGTAACCAACAGAAGGAAGCAAAGTAAAAGCAGCATCTTGTGCTGTTTTGAGCACTGATCAAGCTCACTGTGACTCTGGTGGTGGTGAAGCTTTCTTCGGTGGAGGAACTAAGTTAACAGTTCTAGGTAAGAAACTAAAACACGTTTAAAAATACAAACGTAATTCGAGTGTTTGAAATGTGCAGCACTAAAGTCCAGATTAAGTTCTGCTCAGAGATTTATACTCTTAACCTTAAACATCAGTTCGAAGCCTGTTTCAGCCAGAGAACTAGAAAGTAACAAAAAGTAAAAGCAGCATGTTGGGCTGTTTTGAGCACTGATCAAGTTCACTGTGACTCTGGTGCTAATGCAGTTTACTTCGGTGGAGGAACTAAGTTAACGGTTCTAGGTAAGAAATCTAAACTTTTTCTTAAATTGTGGATTTAAGAAACTTATTTCACTCAAGTCTAGTTTGAGTTTAGCTTTTTGTTGTGAGGCTTGACATGGCAGTTTAAGCCGAGGAACAAACCTGACTGTTCTTGGTAAGTTAACTTCACTGTTAGACTTTATGTTATTAAAAAAAATTGTAAAAAAAAACAACAAGATTGTAGTTGTTGGTTCTAAAGAAAAGTTGCATTGATTATAAAAATAAAAAGTAATGAAACAAAGTAAAAGCAGCATCTGTTTTAAGCACTGATGAAGTTCACTGTGACCCAGAATGCAGAGGCTCACTTTGGTGGAGGAACAAAGTTAACAGTTTTAGGTAAGATATCAAAACAAATGGGAGAAAGTCATTGTCACTAAAGTCTAGTTTAAGTTCTGCTCGGAGCTTTTTGTTCTTAAGTTTTATTATTTCAGCCAGGGAACTAAATTTGATAAATTAATATTAATTACAACAGGAAGATAATTGAGATGTCCCTATTACATCCAGCTTGGTGAAAACAGACTGTAGTTGTTGGTTTTAAAAAGGAAATCTACATTTATTACAAAACTAAAGTAAAAGCAGCATGTTGGGCTGTTCAGAGCACTGATCAGGTTCACTGTGACTCTGGTGGTGCAGCAGAGGCTCACTTTGGTGGAGGAACAAAGTTAACGGTTTTAGGTAAGAAAACATTTGAAGTTCATTAAATACTGCTCAGGTACGGTTTAGTTTAGATTGTGTTTTATACTGTTGAGATACTCTAAGAATCAAATGACTTCTAAAACAACAATGTTTACCAAATATTTCATTAGATAATGATAAAATAACCAAAAGCACAAATAGATTTAAATGGAGACAGTGAGTTTAGCAGGATTTGACTGTTTGTAAAATACGAGTTAAAGTCTTCACATGTCAAAGAGTCACAACGTTGGAACTAAGACAAAGAGCCAGCTGGAAGAGGTTTTGTATCAGTGGAAAGTCTCTGTGGTCCTACTCCGAGGCTCTCTTTGGAGCTGGAACTAAACTCACTGTTTTAGGTAAGAAAACCTGCACAAAAACGTCTCAGAGAAGAAGATTATCAGCTTGTTTATATGTTAAGATTATAGTCGGTACTAAGAATTTATTAAATAGACATATTTAATAGTGAACAAAAGTGTACAAAGTTTAAAGTGTGAAAGAAGTTATCTTAGAAGTTAGTTTGTGCCAGTAAAAACCAGCATTGTCTATGTTCTCCAGTAAAAGTACAGCAGCAATGAAACATTTGGCTCTACGCCCAGATTATTCCTCTAAAGCCAGTTCTTATCATCTCTGTGAAGCACTGTGAGCTCACAGTCTGAGGCTCACTTTGGAGCTGGAACTAAACTCACCGTTCTAGGTAAGAATCACAAAACTGAACATAAACTATTACAATGGTGCATATGGACAGAACAGTAAAGTAGTTGGTAACTTGCAGGTTACGGGCGAGGGTTGTTTTTAACATCATGCACTTAAATAGACCTTAAGTCAGAAGTTGAATGCTGTTCGGCACTAATTTAATTTGGTATGAGTGTGTATTGCCTCTGCATTTATGTGTGCATAAAAAGGTTTTACTTCCTAAAAAAAAAAAGAGCACAAAGACAGTCTACAGCTTTCAGTGCTGGAAGCCTGAGCAGTCTTTCTTGTATAGCCTCGTATCAGTGTGAACAACTACGATCCTGCTTATTTTGGCAGTGGCACCAGACTGACAGTGTTGGGTAAGAAAATGATCAAAAAAAATGACATGTATAAATGTTTGTCTTGTGACCTTGTCTTAACTTAAACCTGAGCCTTCAGTTTAGTGTTGTTTTAATGTCTTGATTAGTTTTTTGCTGAAGCAGCATCGTGTTGCCGTGCGTCAAAAGTGCAAAAGAAAATGTAAAATTTGAGGTAACCAAGATGATCTCTATGTGATAAGTCTAGGTACGAGACAAGCCGTAAGAATTGGCATTCAGAGGATATTATAATCATTTTCTCAGTTGCTAAACAGAAACTTAGTTTTTCCTTCCTGCATCAAAAAGTAAATGAAAAACCTCTATTCAAATTGCATTCATGAGTGGGATTCATGATATTGTAGTTTCTAGCTTATTTATGAGAAACCCACAAACGCTGCGGAAAAAATAAACTGGACGTCATCTCAGTCCAACAGCTCTTGTTAAGATCAAACATTTTTCTGAGTAACTTAGACTTTAATGTCTCTCAATGTGACCTTTAACCTGTGACGGTCATGTTTTATTTGGTGCAAATGTTTGTTGTGAAAAGGTATTTCTGTCATGTCTACATTCTTGTGTCCAGAGGTCACACGAATAATTAAGGATCCAGGATTGCAGATAGGTTTGCTGTAGATCTATAGGCAGCTTTAATTCATGGTGCGTTTGTTTGTCCTTGCAGAACCAGGACTTAATATCGCCGAACCAACAGTCAAAGTGCTTCCACCTTCTCCAGAGGAGTGTCAGAAGAAGACCATTGTTTGTGTGGCCAGTGGATTCTACCCAGACCATGTCGGTGTAACCTGGATGATCGACAGAGAGGATACCACCGGTGAGGCAACCGACAGAGTTGCCCTCCGGGAAGAAAACTATTACAAAATCACCAGCAGGCTGAGGGTCTCTGAAAACGACTGGTTCACACGCGACAAAGAGTTCACCTGCACCGTCAGCTTCTTCAATGGGACACATACTAAACATTTTCCAAAAACAATTTATGGGGTAAAAGGTAGGTTTCATTTGAAACTCAGAAATGACCTCAACGTGTTCTCTTTGCAATTGCAAATACATCAACAACCATCTGTCTAATGCTTTTCTTCTTCTTCTATCAGCTAAAGAAGGAGTCCTGACAAGAGGTAAACATTATTCTGTGTTTCTGAACACCTCAATGCATCATCACTACTATTTAGAGTCCTGTTTGGTCTTTGAATCGTGTCAATAAATGTTTGAACTTTCTGCAGAGAAATATTTGAGGGTCACACTGACCGCCAAATACTCCTACGGTGTTTTCATCATCAAGAGCATCGTCTACGGAGCCTTCGTGGCGTTCCTGGTGTGGAAGCTTCAGGTTTGTTCCATTTTACATAAATTAGGCTGAAGGAGTAATAAGAAAAGAGCTCGTAACGTTGTGTCTTTTCTGTCTGTTGCAGAGATTAGCCGGGAAGCAGAACGACTGACAGCGGAGGTCAGAATAAATAAATCTAGGAGATCAATAGTGTTTGATTCTGTAAATAAGGTGGACAAGTTATACATCCACGTCGTTGTATGTTGCAGTGCATTTACACTCTGCTAAAATAGAGGAACAGTTCTGTGCATATTGTTGTTAAAACTGCCATACAAATATTTTGGGTACCAACTTTTTACAAGTACTTATAACAATAATTCTGTGTTTGTGGTCGTGAATTGCTTGGTTGCTTGATTTTCTTCTCAATAAAAGTATTTCAGAGGATCTTTGTCAATCATGTGCTTTCATTTCTCTATATGAAAAAAAAGTTTGTTTATTATTCTCATGACATCTTCAGACTGTTACATTCAGTTTATTTCTAAAAGGGCATGGGTTCATCCTCATATCATATCAGTCGTTCATATTATAATGGTTGATTTAAAATCAAAGAATTAGACATTACTCTCACATTTCATCCGACACTGAACATATATTTTTTCCGCAGACAGTGAGGTATTTCTGCCTGTTTTCTGAGAAAGAAAGTATTTTTCACCTACATGCATGATGTTGAAACATCTCAGCTCGGAAAATCTTCACAAGCTGTCATTTGGGTCTCGACAAGTTTTTCCATTGAGCAAACTGAGAGGTGACTAAGTTTCTCCAGTGACATTTGATCTGATAAAATTCCATCAACTGATCTGTGTTTTAACATTTTAAAAGGAATCATTTGACTTCATCAAAGTCGTACATCTAGTGAGAGAAGCTTATGAGGGTTTACGTTCTCTTCATGAATAAAGAAGATGTTCCTTTAGTTGAAACACGTTCAGCAGGAAAGTAAATGTAAGAGTGTGAGGCGACCGCACGACAACAGGAAGTCAGCGTCCTCATCTGAGAACAGAAGGAGGTCAGAGCTGTTGTTGGTGAGGGAGACAAACCGGAGCTTGAAAGCCTGCAGAGGAGCAGAGAGCGACAGCAGAGGAGAGGATGTGGTCACAGAGCAGCCTGCACATCGCTCTCTGTGCTGAGAAACGACGAAGGTGCAAACCTCCACTTCACCACAACCTCCGGCTGCAGCTGCACCTCTGCACCTCACTGCAAAGCAAGTCTCTGAGCAAACAGCTGGAAAAACCTCCATTTCTGTGTCAACCGAAGCTACAGAATGAACATGAATGTGTGTTAATATCTGTTACAACAGCTGTTTACTTCTGTTTACAACATCTGGTGCAGAAATATACATTTGAACCTTTTTGCTTTGCAGTAGATTAAAGATGTGAAATACATTTTTCAGCAGTCGCAGACTGAATTATCAGAAAAAAAAACTAAATAACGAAAAAACTGAGGGTGTTTCAAAGTCAACTCCTCTACAAATCATCTTCATATGAATCACTACAAAAATACACAACAGAACACTATATTTGAATGACTCTGAAAATGAGATCTTATTGGTTTTAACTAACATAAGGTTTAGTACCACACGCTACCAGTCCCAGCTGTGGCGACATTGGTACAGCTGGCTCTTTGTAACGCATTGCTAGGCCTATGTACTTTTATTGTTTGTTTATGTCATTTTATGTATTTGTTCTTTTTTAAGACTCCAGTGGGACTCAAACTGAGGAAGAACATGTTCGACTTTCTCCAGTTGTTTCCTTGAAAAACATGTTTGTGCTTCATCGAGTCACATAAACAGGAAACGATGTGTGTGACGATGCAACAGAAGCATGGTGTGTGTGTGTGACATCTGTGAGCTGGATAATTATATCTCCTCCTGCAAAGCCTGATCTGTAGAAGTTGTTGCTTTCCATCCGTTAGAATTTCACACTTTCTCTGCATTGTTTGTAAAGTGTCAGAAAAAAGCAAAACCACCAGTAAATTGAAAGACGCTCACCTCATGGGTTCATAATAGAAGATCATAATAAAAGCTATAAACCATATTTTAATTTTGTGGGTATATTTAAAAACCATCATTATCAATATTGTGTTTATAGACAATATTAAGGAAACTTAAGTCGATGAAAACAAAAACGTTTGATGACATTTTACTTCACATAGAAGTATTTTTTTTAGAATTCTTTTTAAAACCATATAATCATAGGGGTCTGAAGTTAGGTGTGCACATATTTGCATGAGGGTTAAGTGCTGAAATATTGTATATCAATAAAATTAGCTTGATATGTACAAATTATTTAATGAAATAATAAAAAATGATAAAGTTTAACAAACATACATATGGAGATATATATATATATATATATATATATATATATATAATCTCTATATGTGTGACATGTGTAACTGATACTGATCGTCTCGCACACCTGGTATCATCAGCAGTAGATTAGAGCAAAAACAGAACTTTAAACAGCAACCGTGCCTCTGTCATTATTTAGAGTAACCACATCTGTATTTTAGGAAGTTTAAATACGAGGCAGGAAGGTCTGTCTTTAAGGTGGATATCAACTTCTTTGACTGGAAAGATGATGTTTAGTACAGTAGATTGAGACTTTATTAAACTGCAACAAGAAACAGGTGTTAGATCTTGCCGATTGAACTGGTACGTTTATACACTTCAGCAACCAAACACAGCAGAATGAGACATTTCATTTGTCGTGGTGAACAACCCTTTGTAGTGCAAACCGATGTGTAGCATTCATGCACATTCAAGCAAAAACTGGTTTTGTATAAAGGTTTTTAAAATACAAAATAATAAACTAAAATAAATATAAACCTAAATAATACAGAGTTAAAGTTAAAAAGAATTCTTCTATGTGACAGAATCAGCAACAACAGCCCTGTATCAGTGAAACGTCAGAATATTGAGGTTGAGGTTGAACAGCAGATTATGGAGAAAAGTCACATGATTTACATCATGTTTAGTAACCTGAAAGATAAATCTTTATGATTCTACAGAAGACAGAACAGGTCCACAAGATTCAGTGAATTACATTTATCGGATGGCTAATGTTGATTTTATCACATTTAATAGACTTCAGAAGTTTACTCCAAAATCTCCTCAGCACCATACCATCAGTTCACATTTCCCAATTATTCATAATTAATTAAATATTAAAACACCAATATTCTGTATGTCCAGGAGGAAGTGAACCTCTCACACAGTTTTATATTGAGATACACAGAAATACAGGTAAATATTTAGTGATGCAGATATACAGAGAATGCATTCTCTCTTTATCCAACATGTGAAGCAACACACACACATACACACACCTACATTGTTACCACTAGTGGGGCTCGGACTCAGACTCATTTTGTCTGTCTCAGCTCTTCACTGTGACTTTGTAAAGATGGTGTTTATCATGAGGCCAAAGAAGTGACCAACACTCACCTTGGACTGTGAGCTGCTGCTGAGTGGAGGCTGTTTATGTGTCGCCACCAGTCTGCAGACTTCAGGGAGCCATCTGCTGGATAAACCTGCAACACACAAGTCACAGCTTTAACACAATCGAGGTACAAGCCAGAGAACGTGACTTACTAAAGTACTACTTTACTTTGAATCACAATCAGACATAAGAGCAGAATAAGAATTCAACGTAGTTTACTCAGGCTTACTGTATAATTGCATAAAGTCAGCAGTTGTAAATATCAATAAGATGATCTGCAGGTCATTTCCAGAGCGTAAGAGATCCAACTGTCTATTGTTTTAGAATACAATACAATACAATTCCTTCATCGTCAATGCACAAAGTACAACAAAGTTAGTAGCAATCGAACAGACACAACCAGTAATCAAAATAAAGAAGAATAAAAATGTTCTGATGAATTGAATAAAAGATAAATCAAGCGATGCATTTTAAGCACAAGTTACTATCAGCAATCGTTTCTGTAAAGTTTGGCGAAATGAAAAAAAAAACGAATTTCATGGTTAAACTTCACAAAGCTTTTAATCACTGAATGCAGCAACAGTATTTTTCACAGCAGCAGGGGGAGACATACCTCAACACACAGAACAAGGATAACAACTTACACTGGAATGGACAACATCCGCTTCAGTGTTACTCCCTTGTGATAAAGTTAGCTGTGATGTAGATTACTGACACCTGTTCACTATAATGTACCAGCGCTGTGCTGTCGTCTACAGGTAAAGCGCTCACACGACCCGATAATACCACTTCATCTTTAACATGATGTTAATGGTTTTCTTATTCTGCTTCTGTCGTCTGCCATGATGGAAAAAAATACAGCAAACAAAGTAAGACACCGCAGAGCTAAAGACTATCGCAGGGCCGTGTTAATACTAGGGAATCTCGTATTATGCACCTCTAAGAGTGAATCTGTTGCCAGTGAGATCAACTCTTCACAAAACACAACTTATGATCACATTCTTTGGTTCAAACAAGATGAACACAGGCCTCCAAAGCTTTTATCTGAATGTAAATTGTGTAAATATCGAGGACGTGCAAGGAAAATTGAATTTGTCGTAACCAAATAGTGCACATCCCATGATCAACCCTGGCTTCTACAGCTTCTCATTGTTTAGTGGAGTTCTCACTGATCAGAATGAAAGTAAATATACTGTGATGTACTGCAGGGGGACCCCCAATACCATGTAGTACCATCTTTGTACGATACTGAAGGCTTTGATGCAGTTGACAGAATGACATCACACGATGCACTGACCCTCCTATCTGCAGCTCTTCACATCGACTATACGAGCTAGTTTCTGTCAGACAGAACATGGATATAATCATCAATAAACAAGGCCTCCTCAGATGGTTCATCTTTTTGCTGTGGACTACAGGTAAATTACAATAAAATGATTGATGAATATACATTAACATTACCTTATTTTCATATTTTTGCAGTTATTGTAATTGAAAATGATGTTGATGTGACGTCAGAGGATATAAGTAGAATCCAACAACAAACTTTTATTATGCTTTCTTTTATCACTAAACACTCAGGTCTAACTGATGGGAGTGATGTCATCCAGACTTCAATACTTTGGGAAAACAAGGGTGTCAACGCAACAATGAGCTGCAGCCACACCAAGGGTGCTCAGTACTTCCAGATGTACTGGTACAAACAGCTGCCGGGAGAATCAATTCAACTGATAGTGTTCACAACATTTGGCACAGAAAATGATTTTGGAGGTCTTAGCAGAGACAAATTTTCAGCCACCAAGCCTGACGCTCACAGTGGGACGTTCACAGTGAAGAACGTGCAGCCAGAAGATAAAGGCTTGTACTTCTGTGCTGTGAGTCAACACAGTGATACAGATGCTCTCAATAGTTGAACAAAAACCCCAGTGTTGGCACACCTCTATCCCTCCATCTCACATACTGCAGGACCTCAAGGACCACAAACACTCCCAGTGACACTTTGATTCACCGTGTGTGTTTTGACACAGCCAGCAGCTAACGGGAGCAGAGAACGTCACACACTGCAGAGACACTCCCACCTGCAGCTCTTCATGGCTCTACACTGCACACTACAGCTATATATGATGCTTTAGAACATGGACGTGACCAAACGTGGACTCCTAAGCTTGTTTCTATTTCTGCTCTGGAACAAAGGTAAAGATCTAGGGCTGGGCAGTGTGGCTGAAGTCAATATCATGGTTGTTTTTCTTCTTTTATCAAAATTCATCACAGCAATGCTACATAAAATAATTCATTTTGAATGCAATGAACCATGTTGCATTGTCATGCATTACATCAGCAAAACCATTTATAAATACACCTTTTAATAGCAATTTGCATAGAATTGATAATACATCGTTGTTGTTGTTGTTATTAAAGATCCTGTATCTTATTCAAATACTTTGACATCAATATTAAGTAGTCATATCTTATGCATATCAATAGTGTGTTCTTTATAATATTGTGGAATTCAAACATTATTTAGATGAAGGCTTCAAATAAGTCCAGTAGGTTGTCTCCCTCTTCCTGATGTTTCGACGCAAATAAACTAAACTAAATTAAACTACTATTATTCTGCTGAAAGTCCAGATGTATGGTTTTTAAAGGGTTTATTGTATGAGAGGTAGAATGTTCACCAGTGTTAACGTTTAAACACAGTTATGTACTGCTTCACACACAGGTCTAACTGATGGAAGGGATGTCAACCAGACCTCCATACTGTGTGAAAAACAGGGTGACAGTGCAACAATGAGCTGCAGCCACACCAAAGGTGCTCAGTACTACCAGATGCACTGGTACAGACAGCAGACAGGAGTTTCACTGGAACTAGTAGTGTACACATCACCCGGCAGAACGGAAAACCGCTGGTTTGGAAATTTCAGCGGAGAGAAATATTCAGCAACCAAGCCGGACGCTCACAGTGGGACGTTCACAGTGAAGAACCTGCAGCCAGAAGATAAAGGCTTGTATTTGTGTGTTGTGAGTGAACACAGTGATACAGATGCTCTCAATAGCTGAACAAAAACCACAGTGCGCTGTAAACATAACCGTTACAATGATCTCATGTGCTGTAGGGGGACCTCGAGGACCACAAATACTCCCAGTGACACAACGTGGAGGACTGAACATCCCACATGTGACACTCCCACCACCGGCAGATGTTTAGATCGCTAACCCCACTGACAGTTACATTAGACCTGTTGACACCATCAAACACGGCCTCCTGATCTTTTTAACACGTCTGCTCTAGAGAAAAGGTAACTACACTATAGCCTTTAACCATTGCTGTTGAAAATCATGTTAAATCCTCTACAGTTTCAAATGTTGTCTTGCGGTAACTTAATGTGTTTTACACACAGGTGTAATTGCTGGTGATGATGTCACCCAGACTGACATACTGTGGAAAGTCGAGGGTGACAGTGCAACAACCTGCCGCCACACCAAGGGTCTTGGCTATTTCCAGATGTAATTGGTACAGACAGCTGTCAGGAGAAACAATGAAACAAATAGTGCTCACAACAATGGCCGATAGAGAAAATGATTTCGGAGATTTCCGCAGAGACAAATATTCAGCCACCAAGCCTGACGCTCACAGTGGGACGTTCACAGTGAAGAACGTGCAGCCAGAAGATAAAGGCTTGTACTTCTGTGCTGTGAGTGAACACAGTGATACAGACACATGTGGAAGCTGAATAAACTGTTGGCACATCTGTTTGTGAGTCTATTTATCTGCTGTACTGTAGGGGGACCTCAAGCACAATCACTGAACATCATACAGTACAGAGACACTCCCTGCTGTAACCGTTCATATCTGTAGCGTCACACCTCCATCACACTGACTGACAGTGACTCTGGTCTCCAACTTCATTTTGTTCAGAGCACAATCATGATCACAGCTGGTCTGATCGAACTCTCTGCAGCTCTGCTCTGGATTGTAGGTACTGTACATTATGAGGAGAAGCTGTTACTTTATCTCTACATTCATACTCATGATTGTATGTTGTTGTTGGTGGTCCTGTAACATGACATGTGATATTTTTTACCCTCACAGGTCTAACTGATGGGAGTGATGTCATCCAGGCCCCTCTGCTGTGGAGGGTGGAGGGTCAGTCTGCCACAATGAACTGCAGCCACACTAAGGACATCTCATACCGAACGATGTACTGGTACAGACAGCTGCCAGGAGAGGGAATGAGGCAAATAGTTTACACGACTCCAACTCCTCCACATGCATATGAAAGTGGCTTCAGTGTGGACAAATTTCCTGCAACAAAGAGCGACGCTCACACTGGATCTCTGACAGTGGAGAAGCTGCTGCCTGGGGACAGGGGAGTGTATTTCTGTGCTGTGAGTCAACACAGTGATGCAGGAGACTTAGACAGCTGCACAAATACCCAACTGTTGCCGTCACAATAAATAAATGTGTTAATTATCAGTAGGGGGAGCTCTAGACTGCGTTTAGATTTTTGGTTAGTATTCAGTAATTTGTGATAAGCGGCTTTTACACTGAAGTGGAGCAACATATAGCTGAATAGTTGTTTTTCAGATGTTAAATGACAGGCAATGGATACAGAAATTGTTACACAAAATGTACTCAATACTATTCAACATGTTTTCTGACATTTGTAGAATATATTTTAGTGCTGAATTAAATATTTCTATAATATATTTCATTCCTTTTGAAATTGTGTACAACCCGTTTGAAGGTTACCAATGACTGTGCTGTATTCTGTGATTGTCTGAATCTAAAATAAAAACATCTTATCCATAAACCACCATCACCTCTGTGTTCAGTGCCACAGATAGTGACTTGCTCCTGGAAGCGTCAGGACACAAACACAATCAACGATGTTTCATTACACTGTTTGACTACCAACACGTGTTAATTAAGGCAAAACGTAGACAGATTACCGGTTAACTGAAAAGTATCACAACAAGTGTCTTGTCTAAGTGTAATGACACCTTTTTACAGAGAATGCCATCATGTGACAGGATGGATGATGGGATGTCACATCCGTCTGTTCAGCAGATCTAAATGGTCTCAGATCTCATCTTTACTGTTTCTCGGTTCTGTCCTTTTGCATTCACATCTTTGAATTAGTTTTAGTCAGAAATGTACTATGCAACTGAAACTCTTTTATAAACACAGCTTAGTGTCCCCTCCCACTGACTCTAAACCTATTGGTTTATGATTTATGGTTCCAGGAACTACTGGGAGTATTGGAGTCCATGACCTCAAAGTTACTGGTACAGACGGCTCAGTCTGCTCAGATGGACTGCAGTCGGGATCTTGGTGGCAAATGCTTTCAGGGTCAGAGCCTTGTTTAGACATATATCATTGTGTTATTACTGTTAACAGAACATGAAACTACTGAAATAGAGAAGACTCGATTTAAAAGGTTGAAATGTGTATGTCTATGTATTTAAGAGCATTTCAAACCCTTTGATAAGAAAATATACGATACATTCTAGTACACTCACATTTGTT